CACGGAGGTGACTTTATATAACAGCAGTATGTGTTCACGGAGGTGACTTTATATAACAGCAGTATGTGTTCACGGAGGTGACTTTATATAACAGCAGTATGTGTTCACGGAGGTGACTTTATATAACAGCGTATGTGTTCACGGAGGTGACTTTATATAACAGCAGTATGTGTTCACGGAGGTGACTTTATATAACAGCAGTATGTGTTCACGGAGGTGACTTTATATAACAGCAGTATATGTGTTCACGGAGGTGACTTTATATAACAGCAGTATGTGTTCACGGAGGTGACTTTATATAACAGCAGTATGTGTTCACGGAGGTGACTTTATATAACAGCAGTATGTGTTCACGGAGGTGACTTTATATAACAGCAGTATGTGTTCACGGTGCCATCATATAACAGTAGTATGTGTTCACGGAGGTGACTTTATATAACAGCAGTATGTGTTCACGGAGGTGACTTTATATAACAGCAGTATGTGTTCACGGAGGTGACTTTATATAACAGCAGTATGTGTTCATGGAGGTGCGTTTATTTTATTATTAAACGGTACTTCTGCATCGGCGAACATGCTAACGCTAACTGTGCTACTTTAGTCACTACTAGAGCCTGAATGAGAACAACTACTGCGTCTCCCGTTGTCAGTCCTGGTTTAGTCCTGGTTTAGTCCTGGTTTAGTCCTGGTTTAGGTGCTGGTTTGGCTGTATTTTGTATTTTTGAGTTTTTTCAGTTTGCTCGCGTGACCACTTTGCGGCTCTCTGACCCGAGAGGGAGACGGGAAAACAAACAAGCTGCAAATGGAATTCATCGTGGCCAGGAAAACTACCGAGCTAATTTTAATTATCATGCGATTAATTGATTCATTGAATATCGCGACAGGCCTACACACGCATACTATTCGCAAAGCATCATCGTCTACAGAAGCAGGAGGACCAGAGGAATGACCAAATATGGGCGAGTCCCCCCCCTTACCCTCTCCCGCCTTCAGCCGCTCAGTCAGATAATTACCCCCCGTTAGCGCTCATTTAGCAACATGTGTTTGTCTGCTTTGATTTGTAACTGTTGATGTTTCTCACTGAAAAACACTGTCCCTCTGTGTCCACTTCAATCATCACATCGGTATAAAGACAGCAGGAGGCAGCAGGAGGAGGAGGCAGGAGGAGGAGGAGGCAGCAGGAGGAGGAGGCAGCAGGAGGAGGAGGCAGCAGGAGGAGGAGGCAGGAGGAGGAGGCAGGAGGAGGAGGAGGCAGCAGGAGGAGGAGGCAGCAGGAGGAGGAGCAGGAGGAGGAGGCAGGAGGAGGAGGAGGAGCAGGAGGAGGCAGCAGGAGGAGGAGGCAGGAGGAGAGGCAGCAGGAGGCAGGAGGAGGAGGCAGGAGGAGGAGGAGGCAGCAGGAGGAGGAGGAGGCAGCAGGAGGAGGCAGCAGCAGAGGAGGAGGAGGAGGGCAGCAGGAGGAGGCAGCAGGAGGAGGCAGCAGGAGGAGGAGGCAGCAGGAGGAGGCAGCAGCAGGAGGAGGAGGCAGCCAGGAGGAGGCAGCAGGAGGAGGCAGCAGAGGAGGAGAGGCAGCAGGAGAAGAAGGCAGCAGGAGGCAGCAGGAGGAGGAGGAGGCAGCAGGAGGAGGCAGCAGCAGGAGGAGGAGGCAGCAGAGGAGGAGGAGGCAGCAGCAGGAGGAGGAGGCAGCAGGAGGAGGAGGGAAGCAGCAGGAGGAGGCAGCAGGAGGGAGGAGGCAGCAGGAGGAGAGGCAGGAGGAGGCAGCAGCAGGAGAGGAGGAGGCAGCAGGAGGAGGAGGCAGGAGGAGGGAGGGCAGCAGCAGGAGGAGGAGGAGGCAGCAGGAGGAGGCAGCAGCAGGAGGAGGAGGCAGCAGGAGGAGGAGGAGGCAGCAGGAGGAGGAGGAAGCAGCAGGAGGAGGCAGCAGGAGGAGGAGGCAGCAGGAGGAGGAGGCAGGAGGAGGCAGCAGCAGGAGGAGGAGGAGGCAGCAGGAGGAGGAGGCAGGAGGAGGAGGCAGCAGCAGGAGGAGGAGGAGGCAGCAGGAGGAGGAGGCAGCAGGAGGAGGAGGCAGCAGGAGGAGGAGGAGGCAGCAGCAGGAGGAGGAGGCAGCAGGAGGAGGCAGCAGCAGGAGGAGGAGGCAGCAGGAGGAGGCAGCAGCAGCAGGAGGAGGAGGCAGCAGGAGGAGGGGGAAGGAAGCAGAGGAAGCACTGTGGACACATCTACCAAAGGCTTCATCTCTTGTTCTTTTGACTCTAACAAATACAGTTTATATTTGACATAGGGCTGGGACTCCATCCATCCATCTTCTTCCCCTTAATCCATTTCTGGGTCAGGGGGGGTGGCAGTCAGAGCTGCACCCAGTTCACAGAGCACCAGCCCCTCACTGATCCTCCTGCAGGTGCTGAGTCCACAGGAGCAGGAGGGCTGGGACTCAATTAAAAAAATTAATCTAATTAATTAGAGGCTTTGTGATTAATTAATCGCATTATAATCACATGTAAATATTTGTCCTGGGAACAGTGAGAAGTAATTTTTTTCACATGAATTTTTAGTTTACCATTGAATAACGACTGAATACATAAACTTAAACAACACATGTTCTTGTGGAGGATCAGACTTGTTTCCATCAAATAACGTTCCTGTCATCGCCTCCACTCTCTCTGTCCACAACATACACTGCACTCGCAGCACTAAAGCTTATAATACGTTTGTGCATCAAACTAAAACATCAACAAGAGCAGCTCACACACCTGTGTCGCTGCTGCTCCCTCCTCCTCCTCCTCCACACACTCTGTCCACAACATACACTGCTCCTCCTCCTCCTCCTCCACACACTCTGACCAACACACACACTCACTGCTCCTCCTACTCCTCCTCCTCCACACACACTGACCACAACACACACTGCTCCTCCTCCTCCTCCTCCTCCTCCTCCACACACTCTGACCACAACACACACTGCTCCTCCGCCTCCTCCTCCTCCTCCACACCCTCCTCCACACCACCTCCTCCTCCTCCACCTCCTCCACCTCCTCCTCCACCTCCTCCTCCTCCTCCTCCACCTCCTCCTCCTCTCCTGACCACAACTACACTGCTCCTCCTCCTCCTCCTCCACACACTGTCCACAACACACACTGCTCCTCCTCCTCCTCCTCCACACCTCCTGTCCACAACATACACTGCTCCTCCTCCTCCTCCTCCACACACCTCTGTCCACAACATACACTGCTCCTCCTCCTCCTCCCGCCTCCTCCTCACTACTCCTCCTCCGACACCTCCTCCTCCTCCTACACCTCTCTGTCCACAACACACACTGCCTCCTCCTCTCCTCCTCCTCCTCCTCCACACACTCTGACCACAACACACACTGCTCCTCCTCCTCCTCCTCCTCCTCCTCCACACACTCTGTCCACAACATACACTGCTCCTCCTCCTCCTCCTCACTCTGACCACAACATACACTGCTCCTCCTCCTCCTCCTCCTCACTCTGACCACAACATACACTGCTCCTCCTCCTCCTCCTCCTCCTCCTCCTCCTCCTCCTCACTCTGACCACAACATACACTCCTCCTCCTCCTCCTCCACACACTCTGTCCACAACATACACTGCTCCTCCTCCTCCTCCTCCTCACTCTGTTCACAACTTACACTGCTCCTCCTCCTCCTCCTCCTCACTCTGACCACAACATACACTGCTCCTCCTCCTCCTCCTCCACACACTCTGTCCACAACATACACTGCTCCTCCTCCTCCTCCTCCTCCTCACTCTGACCACAACATACACTGCTCCTCCTCCTCCTCCTCCTCACTCTGACCACAACATACACTCCTCCTCCTCCTCCTCCACACACTCTGTCCACAACATACACTGCTCCTCCTCCTCCTCCTCCTCACTCTGTTCACAACTTACACTGCTCCTCCTCCTCCTCCTCCTCACTCTGACCACAACATACACTGCTCCTCCTCCTCCTCCTCCCACACACTCTGTCCACAACATACACTGCTCCTCCTCCTCCTCCTCCACACACACTGACCACAACACACACTGCTCCTCCTCCTCCTCCTCCACACACTCTGACCACAACACACACTGCTCCTCCTCCTCCTCCTCCTCCACACACTCTGACCACAACACACACTGCTCCTCCTCCTCCACACACTCTGTCCACAACACACACTGCTCCTCCTCCTCCTCCTCCACACACACTGTCCACAACACACACTGCTCCTCCTCCTCCTCCTCCACACACTCTGTCCACAACATACACTGCTCCTCCTCCTCCTCCTCCACACACTCTGTCCACAACATACACTGCTCCTCCTCCTCCTCCACACACTCTGTCCACAACATACACTGCTCCTCCTCCTCCTCCTCCTCCTCACTCTGACCACAACAGACGCTTTGTATAACCAAAATCCACTGCACTCGAAGTGAGCACTAAAGCTGATAATACGTTTGTGCATTCGAACTAAAATATCAACAATAGCAGCTCACACACCTGTGTCGCTGCTGCTCCTCCTCCTCCTCCTCCTTCTCTGAGGAGTCGCTTGCTGCTCCTCCTCCTCCTCCTTCTCTGAGGAGTCGCTTGCTGCTGCTCCTCCTCCTCCTTCTCTGAGGAGTCGCTTGCTGCTCCTCCTCCTCCTCCTTCTCTGAGGAGTCGCTTGCTGCTCCTCCTCCTCCTCCTCCTCCAGCGGCACGGTGGCTGAGTGGATAGCACTCTCGCCTCTCAGCAAGAAGGTCCTGGGTTCAAATCCCGGCCGGACCAGGGCCTTTCTGAGTGGAGTTTACATGTTCTCCCCGTGTCTGCGTAGGTTTCCTCCGGGTACTCCGGTTTCCCCTACTACTAAAAATATGTACAATAGATCTGGCATGTGCCTCCTGTACTGGCCCCGCTCCCATCTCTGTGTGGAGTGAGAGACAAGTGCCCAAAAAATAACAATTGTAAACCGCTTTGTGACTCTGGTCTGTGAAAGGCGGTATATAAATAAAGAACACTTACTTACTTACTTACTCCTTCTCTGAGGAGTCGCTTGCTGCTGCTCCTCCTCCTCCTTCTCTGAGGAGTCGCTTGCTGCTCCTCCTCCTCCTCCTTCTCTGAGGAGTCGCTTGCTGCTCCTCCTCCTCCTCCTTCTCTGAGGAGTCGCTTGCTGCTGCTCCTCCTCCTCCTTCTCTGAGGAGTCGCTTGCTGCTCCTCCTCCTCCTCCTTCTCTGAGGAGTCGCTTGCTGCTGCTCCTCCTCATACACCATGCTCCATACACAGTGTCTTTCCCGTCTGTAACCATGGATCTAATTCACTCAGATTTAGACACAGCTAAAGTTGGTCTATGCTTGTTATTAGGAGTGGCCGATATGGCCTAAAATTCATATTGCAGTATACTCTGGGACACAGACGGTAGACAGTATATATTGCAGTATACTCTGGGACACAGACGGTAGACAGTATATATTGCAGTATACTCTGGGACACAGACGGTAGACAGTATATATTGCAGTATACTCTGGGACACAGACGGTAGACAGTATATATTGCAGTATACTCTGGGACACAGACGGTAGACAGTATATATTGCAGTATACTCTGGGACACAGACGGTAGACAGTATATATTGCAGTATACTCTGGGACACAGACGGTAGACGGTATATATTGCAGTATACTCTGGGACACAGACGGTAGACAGTATATATTGCAGTATACTCTGGGACACAGACGGTAGACAGTATATATTGCAGTATACTCTGGGACACAGACGGTAGACGGTATATATTGCAGTATACTCTGGGACACAGACGGTAGACAGTATATATTGCAGTATACTCTGGGACACAGACGGTAGACGTATATATTGCAGTATACTCTGGGACACAGACGGTAGACGGTATATATTGCAGTATACTCTGGGACACAGACGGTAGACGGTATATATTGCAGTATACTCTGGGACACAGACGGTAGACAGTATATATTGCAGTATACTCTGGGACACAGACGGTAGACAGTATATATTGCAGTATACTCTGGGACACAGACGGTAGACAGTATATATTGCAGTATACTCTGGGACACAGACGGTAGACGTATATATTGCAGTATACTCTGGGACACAGACGGTAGACGGTATATATTGCAGTATACTCTGGGACACAGACGGTAGACGGTATATATTGCAGTATACTCTGGGACACAGACGGTAGACGGTATATATTGCAGTATACTCTGGGACACAGACGGTAGACAGTATATATTGCAGTATACTCTGGGACACAGACGGTAGACGTATATATTGCAGTATACTCTGGGACACAGACGGTAGACGGTATATATTGCAGTATACTCTGGGACACAGACGGTAGACGGTATATATTGCAGTATACTCTGGGACACAGACGGTAGACGGTATATATTGCAGTATACTCTGGGACACAGACGGTAGACAGTATATATTGCAGTATACTCTGGGACACAGACGGTAGACGGTATATATTGCAGTATACTCTGGGACACAGACGGTAGACGGTATATATTGCAGTATACTCTGGGACACAGACGGTAGACGGTATATATTGCAGTATACTCTGGGACACAGACGGTAGACGTATATATTGCAGTATACTCTGGGACACAGACGGTAGACGGTATATATTGCAGTATACTCTGGGACACAGACGGTAGACGTATATATTGCAGTATACTCTGGGACACAGACGGTAGACAGTATATATTGCAGTATACTCTGGGACACAGACGGTAGACAGTATATATTGCAGTATACTCTGGGACACAGACGGTAGACGTATATATTGCGGTATAATTTGGTGTGAATTTCAATATAGGTCTAGCAGGTTCTTGAATGAAATAGTCAAGATTGTTACTTATTTAAATGTATTGTGCAAAACTGCAATTATACAGAACATTATAAAACTTTAACTTTCAAGCAGCATTGCTGAGCTTCAACCACGTGACCAAAGGGGGCGGGGCATGTGTCCGTAGGACAGGAAGTATTTTTCTCCTATTAAATAGAATGGGCAATGCTGGAAAACGCAGACACAGGAGCTTTTCGCGGCTTAATATCACTCTTATTATGAGTGAAAACTATTTTAATGCAGCGTACGCTTTGTAGTGTTTGAATAAGTCCATTTTTTTCTACAATGAGAAAGATTAAGGCTGTTATAGTGACGACAGTGGAGTCACTCTGGTATCAACAGAAACACGTCTGAGATGATAGTTCTGATCATTAACACATCATTTCGGTGATTTGTTGAGCTGTAAATAACCAAAAGTACAGAGCGCCCCCTGGACCTCCGCTATTAGCTTAACTCCGTAGCGTTAAGCTAACAGCGGGGGCTGCAATTGGAAAATGTATTTAACAGTTCTTTCTTTCTGTTGCCTCGGCTACTACAACCGTATACCACACAAAAATACTGCATTGTATCTATGAAAGTCAGCGAAGTAAAGACTGTCAGCTGTGTCTGTGGCCGCAGATGCTACGCAGGCTAATGCTAATGCT